AAAAAAAGAAGACTTTTTATCACAAATCTTCACTATCGCGGCTCACCGATTGTGCAACGGTTATGTGTTTACATAGTGATTTCTCTCGAATTGGTTTTTATTGTGCCCTCAATTCTCGAATTAATTTTCTGCGATTTCTTCTTCAATGTGTCATTGTCGGGTGTGTGTTTTTAACGTCTCTTCTTCGGCTTGCCTCCATAGGAGTTAGATTCAATTTTCATCTGTAATTAGAGAATTATTATTGTTTATATTTTAAAGAAGGGAATTCATACTTTTATGGATGAAGTTTCAAATCATGTTCTTCTAAATAGGGGGGTTTAATTTATTCGGTGAAAAAGATTGGACGATGTTGAAGAAAAAAGATTTGAAGACGACAATGACCCATGAAGTACCAAAATTCAGTCTAGGAATTGAGCAAGAGCCGAGTGCTTGCCTGGTTTAAATTTTGTCAAAAAAATATACATATTATTATAAATGATGTGGATGTACACTTAGAATTGCTACATGGTAGAGTAATAAAAGTAAAGTGAAATATCATTGCTAAAAAAAAATAGCGAACAATTCAAACTGAGTTTTAAAAAATTCACGTTGCCTCGAATAAATTACGGAGTAGAGAGTTTTATGCTAGGATCTCGAAAGCAATTTTCTCGGTTGGATTAATCAGAATAATAATTTAATTTTGACATCAGATAAGTAATGCCAATAAAAATGTAATAAAAACAGTAGAAAAATGAACTATGCCTCGTTAGTATTATCAGTGAGTACGTGCCGAAAGTTTCTTCTTTAACATACCTTTTTAACATACGTATGTTCCTTTTCTTTTTGAGTTGTATTTATATCGATTTTTTTTCCCATCCCACATTAAAAATAAATAAATAAATGCCATCCCCAATAGAAGATCCGTACCATATAGTAATATTATAATTTAATTATGTGGTACATAGATAATATATCCTAGTATAATATATTAATTTACACGATTGATAATTGTTAACCATTCCAATAAAAGCTGATAATTGCTCCTGTTCTTAATTTCTCCACCTATATTTTCTTAAATAAAAGCCGTATGGATGAAGTCTATAAGTCCTTATTTGATCCATATTATAAAGAATTGACGTATTGCCTTTGAGCTAGCCTACTGAATATAATAAATGAATTTACATGCATATATCGAATTCATGCCCTATAAATACAGCCAAAACTTGGTGAAGAAAAACCCACCCCAATTCCCAAATTATCAGCTTTCTTTTGAATCATCATCATATTAACAAAGAAATCACATAATCAGCGAAGAGTATTGATGGCAACAATCATGAGATCTGTTCTCCTTGCGCTTGTGCTGGCTCTTCCAATTGGTAACATTACTCACTTCTCCCTCTTCTTCTTTTTTTTTTTTTTTTTTTTTTTTAACTGGAAGCTCGATCGCTCTCTTTGTATGTTTCTCACTTAAATTAATATGTGCATATACACAAATATACATGCATTATATATTAACTAAAAAAACAAAAATGTAGTTCCTATGTAGTTCCTGTTGACCTTATTATAACTTGCAGCTTTGGCACTGCCGAAAGCAGCAGAGGCAGCAGGAGATGATCGTCCTCATCGACCTCCTCCTCCTCATCATCCCCATCCTCATCCTCACCACCATCATCATCATCATCATCCTCATCATCATCATTATCATCATTATCACCATCATCATCATCATGAGATCCCGCCGCATGATCACGAAGTCGTCGTTCCACCGTCGACAAGGCTCTTGCAAGCTAGTAATTCTACTGATGTTTTCTTGAAAATATGTAGCAGTTCGAATAGTGATACTGCTTGCCAAGGCGATTTATGTCGACAACTCCCAGCCAGGATACCTGAACTTATGAAGATAATAATGGATGATCTTCCCCATCTTGATATTGAAACACTTATTCCTCCCAACTCCGATTCAGTTTGCGTAGTCATGTCTAATTAATATTGCTTCCTAGTGGAGAGATTAAGTATTCGAGGTTGTAAATTAAGACGCCTACGTGCACCTATGAACACACGTATGACGTCATCGTGGTGGTTGCTTTCCCAACTCGATATTCTATTTCATACATATATGGCGAGATATATATGCTGTCAAGGATTTATATACATCTCCACTATGGCACTATGTAATAGTGTAAGAATTATAAATGATGCTGTGTTGACGTATGTGTATCCAGTATCCACAGCCTAGCTGCATGGGAAAAATTCACACATGTATACATGCACATGTGTGAGCTTTTCTTGTTATTATATTTGTTTTAAATATATGGGAAAAAATGACTATTTCATATTATTATCGTTGTTTTTGTTGTATTACTATTTCTATTATTACTGTCTCTCTTTATTTTTCTTTCATCGTCATATTCATTTTATCTTATTTTGCTTCCAATTTTTTTTTCTATTCGACTTCTGTTATATATATATATATATATATATATATATATATATATATAACTCGCAGATGTATAGTCTTTACCTTTTAAATTGGATTGCAAAGCAGTAACTCACTTCTGTAATACCCTGACAACTAATTATGCAATACCTAGCTCAGTTGATTTCGCGTTATTGTAATTCATTCTACTTTACCTATTAGGTTGCCCCTTGCCAGTGATTTAGGTCGTCATTGCATGATCTTAAACCATACTGCATTCTAACACATAGCGACGTACATTTATTTTCAAATGCAATAAAATATAATGTCTTATTAATAAGATATATAGTAACGTGTCCTGAGTTTTTTTTTTTCTTTTTTCCTGAAATTTGGCTTTTGTTGAACCATGGTGAATATAGTTGTAATTTTTTTTTATTAAAAAGAAAAAGAAAAACTCAGAGAGAAGTTGCAAATTGCAGACAAATTGATGTTTTAATTTACGCCCAAAAAGAGAAAAAAGGAATTTATTATTATTATTATTATTATTATTATTATTATTATTATTATTTTTGGTACATAGAAGGAGGCTCAAGGCCTAGAGTCATACAACTACATTTAGAGTGTATGCTACCCATGAAAGAGTTATCCGCTCCCTACATATCAGTGGGCTTCCAATTTTCTTCACAGCCGATGAAGCAGCAGTAATTTCTGCCACTTTTCTTCTAATTTCCCAAACTTTTGTATCCCCTGGTAGGTGTGTATTCGAAAAAATCAAGTCATTATTCAATAACATATTCCAGATGTAGAGGGATGAGGCAAAGTCCCTAAAGACATGCATTAATGATTCATCATGGGTTCCACAACTAGGGCAGAGTGGACTCCGCGTTAGATGACGGCGGAATCGCTCTAAGTTTGTCATCAGCTTCCCTTTAACCATAAGCACGTCTTCTCCGAGAAAAAGGAAATTCTGTATGTTTATGAAATGATATCCACAAAATGGTTCGAAAAGTCTTTCTCGGACTAATTTGTGTATACGGATTAAAAATATATTCTCTAACGTACGTACGGATATGTGATCAAGAAATCAGGATGTAAAGCGCAACAATCTATATTATAACTAGTATTATAAGTAGGAAATTAAATAACTCTATCTCCGCAAATTAAGGGTTTGTTTGCTCAACATTTATTTTACATTTTTGTCTCATTTTACCTCTTAAAACACCTCTCAAACATAGGTCTCAATACTATCCAAACAACTTTTTAATTTACCTTTTAAAAAATATTCAAAAAATTATTTTTATATAATTTTCATTCACCACCACCGGACCACCTCCACCACCATCCGCCGCCACCTGACCGCCCGCCACCGTTGCTGGACCGTCGCCGGCCAGCGACCGACGGCGGCAGTCTGGCGGCGGTGGACGGTCTGGCGATGGCGGAGGCGGAGGTGGTCGGGTAGTTGTGTAAAAATATTATTAATTTATTTAAAATATTACCCAAATAACTTTTTAAATTTTATCTCAAACCACATTTTAAATCATATCTCAAACACAAATAAAAAATTAAAACAAAAACTAAAATAAAATATTAGCCAAACAAGTCCTAACCTTTCTAAATTAGATGTTGAATGATACTACTTCCGTATTAATAACATAAGATTTCATAATTGAGTTGACTGGTGTACATATGTTTTTGTTTTTTCCTTTTCCTATTTTTTCTTGTCATTTTGGTATACAAGTGTGGCATTAGTTACAACGAAATCTAAAAAGCCTACATCTGGAGCTGTCAACGAATCGAGCACTTAACAACCAGCTTGCTAATAGTTTGAGCAATGATTAATTGAATTTCGTTTTGGCCGAATTCGAACAGTTTGATTAGATAGACTAATCGAACATGAGTATCAAAATGCTTGATTCAAGAGCTTGTTGAACCTATTCGAACTTGTTAATAAATTATTTTATTTTTATTTTAAAAATACTTAATTCACGAAAACCTTTCTTTATATTCCTTGAAAACTATTATCTTTTATATTTTTGAAGATGTAACAATAGGATACATATAGTGTTTATGATTTATCAATGAATTTTGTTCATATAGCACGTATATTGAACGTGTTGAATAAAAAATGACAAATATTAAACATTTATTCAAACTCAATATTATCGAGCATTCGATCTCAATTTTTATCGAATACTAAGACTTAGCCGACGAGCCAAACATGAGTTTTTTTTTTTTTTTGTTTCAAACCAAACTCAAACTTTAATGTAGATGTTCGAATACGAGCTTCAAATTTTTGTCGAGCTCGAGCACTTAACTATTTGTACTTGACTTGGTTCGTTGATAGCCCTACTCGAAGATAATAAACAAACCTAATGAAGACCCTCTATTCGGGGGTATGCATAATTACTCAACAAAGTTTTAGGGATCTAAAAGTATATTTACTAAAAGATAGGACCAAAATAACTAAATGGACACCAGTTGGACTATTTTCGCTTTTAAGTTTATCGTTTTGGTCTTCGAAGTGAGGAAGTACTGACGGTAATTCGAACGCCGATGGTGTGGAGTGGATGACTATTCCGGCAAAAGATCCCAAATATCTCTGAAAATGGAGGAAAAACGCACCGGAACCCCTCCACCGGCGGTTCCAGCTGCTGAGTCTTCGGCCTCAGATGCGCCTTCGACCACGAGGCGTAGAGGTGGAAACCAAAAGAGAAAGGCAAGTTCTCTCAGTGGCGGAAACAATTCGGCTCCTCAATCGACGAAGCGGCAGGCTCGTGAGAAGCTGCCGCCGGTACCGTTCCCTCCGATCCATAATGGTCCGTTAACTAGAGCGCGACAGCAGCCGAATAACAGCGTCGCCGCTGCTAGTTCGCCTTTGTCTTCAGATGTGAAGAGTGAATTGGAAGAGGCGGCTTTGGCACAGGCCGGAGGGGGAGAAATTCTCAGCTCAGACCAGGCGAATGAGGTGGGAAATGAGGATTGGGAAGCTCTGGAAGCGAGAATTGAAGCTGATTGTGAAGCTACCAGATCACGAGATTCTAATGTGCACGTGGTGCCCAATCATGCTGGTTAGTCTCTTCTTTCTAATTCAATTTGCTATAGAAACAAGCTGAAAGCCCTGTATTTTTGTTGCACTTTTGGTTTTAAAGTTGCGAAATTGTAGTAATTGAAGGATTTGGCATAATCGTCATTCTCGTGTGCTTTTAGGGTTTATAAATTATTCATGTATCTGTCATATATGCGAGTGAAAATTTTATAGAGCTTTTGGACCACTATTTAGCACGGATTTGATTTATGATAGTTTGAAACTTTAGGATGCATTAAGGAAGATGGAATTTGTTGGGAACTTGTTAATTGTTTCATAAAAATTATTCAAACTATTTCACTTCCTGATGTCTGCACTTGTAGGTTGGTTTTCTTGGACAAAAACTCATCCATTGGAGGAGAAAACGTTGTCATCTTTCTTTAATGGGAAATCAGAAAGTAGGACGCCTGAAATGTATATGGAGATTCGTAATTGGATTATGAAAAAGTTCCATCATAATCCGAATGCAAAGATCGAGTTGAAAGATTTGTCAGAAATAACGGTAGGTGAATTGGATGCAAGACAAGAGGTGATGGAGTTTTTGGACTACTGGGGCTTAATTAATTACCACCCATTTCCAGATACTGATGTCAGTTCTAAACGTATTGATGGTGCTTCTGATGAAACAACACAAGCCAAGTCTTTGGTAGAAACTTTGTTCCGCTTTGAGTCAGAGCAATCGTGCGTTACGGTTGCACCAAGGAGTAGTGTGTCGACACCATCGGTGCCCACTGGTTTTTTTCCTGAGTCTTCTATTGCTGAAGAATTGGTGAAGTCAGAGGGCCCTGGAGTGGAGTACCATTGTAATTCTTGCTCAGCTGATTGCTCTCGCAAGCGTTATCATTGCCAGAAGCAGGTTTTTCCCTACCCTTTTGTCTCTTAGCGTACTTCCCTGATATGAAACTTTTTGATAAGTTAAAAAAAAACTTCTCATGCGCTATAAGTTGGAATGACAGTTAGATAAGGATTGTTGTAGAGTGAAATTTACCATTCCAAAGTCTGCTTTCATATTTATTTGCAAAGGTGATCCAGATTCCAATAATATCCACTGACATGCATTCAGTCGGGTTCTTCTCGCATAAGTTTAACCAGCCGCTTGGCATAAATTATTAAATTTCATAAATTAGAAGGTTAGAAATTATCGGTAGCATCTTTCAGATAAGCATCTGAATTCAATTGGGTGAAAATTACGGGGATAATGTATTGTGTTATTTTAAGTAGTCACAACTATGGATAAGATTTATCCCAGGTAATCCCAAATTATAAGTGATCAAAAGTTATAGCTTAAACTACATGTGAATGTAGATGGAGGGTTCTAAAATGGCATTCCAGGTTGTTGGCAGCTATGAATTTATTCAGATGACCAGGGTTTCCGGGTGGCTTGCGAACTAATACTGGTTCAAAAATGAATTTTTGATGACTTCTGGTAATGAAGAACTTATTGTCTCTGTAAAACGTCATGGCAGTGTGCAAACGGTTATGGTCTCTGACTTCCATCCTATGTAGAGAACTAATTTATACAAAGTTTATGTCCACAGCATAAGACCTTATATTGCTCTTTGTGAGTTCTGGGAATACTGATATAGTCCATTATGTTAAGTAAATCCACGACATCATTTGGCTGGGAAACTTTGGAATCTGTGGTTTCTAGAGGTAGTATGGTGAAGTTCTGTCATCTTATGTAGTATTTGTATTTCTAATTGCTGAATTTTCCGCTGATGATAATTCAACTATCTGTTATTGAATGAAGCTAGCTGCTGTTACGCCAGCATAGCTGGATTAACTACTGTTGTGAGTCTTTTGATTTTATTTTTTTTTTTCCGAAAGATTGGTATCTTTATATTTGTCTGACTGAACTCTCATTATGCAGGCAGATTTTGATTTATGCAGTGAATGTTTCAACAGTGGGAAGTTTAATTCTGATATGTCTCCATCAGATTTTATCATCATGGAGGCTGCGGAGTCAGGTGGTTCTAGTGGTGGGAATTGGACAGATCAGGAGACCCTCCTTCTGCTTGAAGCTTTGGAACTTTTTAGTGAAAATTGGAGCGAGATAGCTGAGCATGTTGCAACAAAAACTAAAGCTCAATGCATATTGCATTTTGTTCAAATGCCGATTGAGGATGCATTCTTTGATAGTTGTGATGATACCAATGAGAGTGTAAAAGAAAATTCGAATGCAGTTTCAACTAATATTGATACTTCAGCTCCAGAAAATGTCCAGGAAGCTACAGAGAGCAATGACAGGGGGAAGGACGACAAACCTTCTCCGGTAACAGAAAGTTTGAAGCCTGAAGAAGTCAATGGACCAACTGTTCAGGAAACCAGTGAGAACTTTGCAGTGAAGGCACTTACTGAAGCATTTGAAGCTGTTGGTTCTCTCCCTTTACCTGGTGAACGCCTTTCATTTGCTGACGCTGGCAATCCTGTGATGACCCTGGTATGCTTATTTTATTTCTTGCCATGCATTTATGTCTTAGCCCCTTCATGATAATCAGTTGATCTTGTATGAGATGAAATTTTAATATCATTCTGTGGTTTCACTCGATTATATAGTTGTGAGTTCATACCCTTCTTTATGGTCTTCTAAATCTTGGTATATGGCTAGATAAAATTATAACTGTGAAAAAAATAAAGGGTTTAAAAACTTCTTTTTGCCAAGTTTATGTCTGTGGGTTTTTTGGATCTATCAATCTGGTATTTAGTTAGTTTCTCTGTGTTAATAGGCAGCATTCCTGGTGGGATTGCTGGAACCTAATATCGCCACTGCCTCTGCTCGTAGTTCTTTAAAATCCATTTCGAGCCATCATTCTGGTGACCAGCTGGCACTGAGGCACTGCTTTTGTTTGGAAGATCCACCTGCTGACAAAAAGTCAACGTGCACAGAAAGGTTGTTTTTTTTGTTTACGCAACTGTCAGCTGTCTTGCTGGAATATTTCTGATTTTTCCATGAGATATGCAGGGTTGACACTGAAATAGTTGCGGAAGACACTCTACAAAGTGAAGAGCAAAATGCTGAAAAGCAAGAGGAGAATGATGCCCCAGTCATTGATGCTAACCATGGATCAAACAACATTGACTGTGGAAGTGGTGAGGATAATGTCCAGGAAAAGGGGGAAACTTTGTCTTCTTCAGGGCTCGCATCTGCAGATGAGTCTGCTTCAACCAAGGAATTGAATGAAATGGCTAATGAGGAACCTGGGCCTATCCAAATCAGTAAATCAAAGGATCCAGATTCGCCAAAGAAAGTTGCATCTGTTGCTCAACAAAAATCGGATGATCTAACAATGGATGTGGAAGTTCCTCCTGGTTTTGAGAAGGAGCCAGATAGTACTGTGCTATCTGGTGAACCTTCTGAATCTACTGAGGTTCCGAAAGATAAGGAGATATTACCTAATTTAGAAGTTAATGATCCTGCGAAACCAGCAATTTCAAATTCAGCGGGTGAGAAAGAAGAGAATCGAGGTGGGGTTAACATTTTATTCACATAATACTTTTTCTGCTAGTGTATTTTCTTGTGACCCCAAATCTTAGTATATTCAAGTGTTTAACAAGTTGTGAACAAAGCACATGATTGAAATAACCATCAGGTGGTTATAGTACTTAATTTTGCTTGGAAACCCCAGGGAGAATGAGAATTTCAGAATTGTTTAGTGATGTACTCATCTGTAGTTCACTCGTGGATATCTTCATAAGTATTAACAGATCTTGCTGTGCGTTCCGCTGCTTTGAGGCCATTTTGTCATGCCGTTCATACTGAATTTCTAAAGATTAGCCTACATTTTGTAACTTTGAGGAAATTTAACATCTTAAAATCTTAAATGACGTTATGCTTGCTACTTTTACCTACAGATGCAGAAGCAAAAACTTCTATCAATGAGGAAAAATGTGCTCCAGAGATAAAAAATGATGTCACTCTAGGTAGGTTGAAAACCGCTGCCATTAGTGCTCTTTCAGCTGCCGCTGTGAAGGCAAAGCTTCTTGCTGACAGAGAAGAAGAACAGATTCATCAACTTGTTGCTCACTTGATTGAGAAACAGGTATCTTTTAAGAATCAGTTTTCTTTGTAAATTCTTCTTCAGCTATAAGCGCTTGAAGCAAAGGCTTTCTCCTGTCATTTTTCTGCTTATTTGTGTCTCTGAAATGCCGGTATAAAGTAAAGAACAAATAGTCGAGCAGTTGACCGCCTGACGAATTCTTCTGATTTATGTAGTTCTGTAGAATTTATAGTATGGAATTGCCTTTGTAGTGATAGTAAGTGCCGTAACAGGAAAATGGTATCATTGCTGTAGCTAGCTTTTTCTTGAAAATTTGACCTTCATTCTGTTATTCCTTATAGTTTTAGGCTGTTAAATATATAAGAACTGAAAAGGTGTTCAATTGTTGGTTGAATCTATGTTGACTTTGTGTCAGAAACATACTTTGTTCGACGTATCGGTTGGCTACATTTTATCTTCTGCTTGATAATGGAGATGGATGATGGGCAGGATTGCAGAACTTTTTCTTTAAAGATTATCTATCTTTAAATTTCGTCACTGAAAAGAACTCTTTTTATTGCAGTTGTTTAAGTTGGAAACAAAGTTGGCTTTTTTTAGTGACATGGAGAATGTGGTAATGAGAGTTCGGGAACAGTTAGAGAGGTCAAAGCAGAGGCTTTTCCATGAGCGAGCTCAAATAATTGCTACAAGACTTGGCATATCTGCTTCTAGACCAACCGCACAATCCTTGCCCATAAATAGAGTTGCAACGGCTTTCGCGAATGGACCAAGACCAATTATTGGTATACCTACTCCACCTCCAATTGCAAAACCAAATAAGCATTAGATCTTCTGTCAAGCTCATTTTGACCCATAAATTTTACAGGAAGTTCAGTTCAGCCTTCGAACCAGGACCAACTTCCTGCAGTTGGCAATAAGTAACCCTCATATGTGCTCATGAATCCTCTCAATCTGTTGGAACTCCTTAATCACCCTGTAGCAAGTAAGTTTGACGATCATCTTCTCTGATCTTGTTGAAGAATTCAGTAATGTACATGAAACAAACTCAGAAACGCTTCTCAAGGGTGATTGGTCTTTTGAAATCCTGTTGAATTATGCGATTCTGACATAGGCGTTTTGTTACTTTGTTCTCATTGTGAATATGCATTAATCAAAATGGTATTTATGTATGTCCTGGCCTGGTTGCTACTTATTGTCATGTGTCACCAATACGTAGAAGCAACAAAATTTTAGGAAATCTTATTCCAGATTTGGTATGCTCTTGTTTCTCTGCCAGTGTAGTAGCAGAGGATGCTTGGTTTTCCAGCATGGCTTCCCTTTAATTTATATATGACATCAGTATCATCTTTACTTTTTGAACATAGTATGTTTGACAGTGGATTTGGAACTATTCTTCACCTTCTGATTGTTGGATATGTTCCGGAGTATATATTGTATCATCAATCTTATTTATTTGGCCTGTGTTTATTTCTGCATTCAGATACTGCGTCATGTACTAATCAGGGATGCACCAGAATATCTTCCAATTTTCTGCATCATGAATAGTGCTGAAGAGCAATCATAGGAGCAGAAGGCATCTTGTAGGAGAAAATTGGAACTGCCTTATGATTATGTGCATTGGCATGGAAGAACTTATTTCAAAGCCTCTAGAGAGCTTTAGGAATTTTCTATTAGTGGCATCTTAGGGTATGTCGATTTTGTTCATTTGCCGCATACGTTGATAATATATATTAACCGACCAATGTACTATCAGCCCCTTATAGTTTCTTGAATTTCTACCTTTCTCGTTATTTGGTGATCACCGGTATGTCATATGTTAACATATTGTGATGCAACTGTCTAGCCTATCATTGATATCTTATTGCAGCCAGTTTGTTCGTTATTCCTTGTGACGTATGATCTGTTGAGGTTCTAGATCGAAATGGATCAAATATGAGGCTGTAGATCATTTTGATAGATATAATATGGGTATCTACATAGATATGATTGGTGGCAACAAAGCTCTTTCAATTTGAGGGCAAGGATCTCACAAACTTGGCACCACAGAAGTCAACCAAATATAATTATCCCAATGCAGTGAGAAGAAGGTAAGGCGAGAAGACTAAAAACAAACATATCATGACAGAAAAATGGACTGGACTTTAAACACCGTGCAGCACTACCAGAACGACCAGTAAATAAATACATAGACGCACGTTCAGATTGAGAAAACCAGAGACAGTATAAGCTTCTTACAGAAAAAATAATGTACATGTTCAGCTGCAAAGAATCCATAAACAAGATGAAAAAGAGCCCAAACGGCAGCATAAACCACTTCAATCTTCCAAGTACTTCTCTTCTAAAGATAGAATATCAATTTCAACATTCACATCCAGTTGACCTCTGCTGGCTTGTATTTGACACGTCAATGGTATCCGGCAAGTATCTACAATAGTGTCCATAACATGAAAGGACAATGTAAGATTGCTTTAATTTTCCAGCGAAATTAAATCTAGGATACCAAGTATAAAGAGATTATAGATGCAGTAACATAATTTTCAAGACTCTGATCACAGATTCATAATTGTTCCTCCTGATTCCCTATTTCCTATGGTGGGGAAGCAAAGTCTCATCCAGCAATCACACTACTAAAAGCAAGGTAAATGTAACATAAAGATCAGGAATAGTGTGGATGTTCATCGGAGACATCAGCAAATATAAGAATGAACAGACGGGTACAATTTTCATAAGGATTGAGTATTAAATGAATTCCAACAGGCATAAAGTTGAAAATGCAATCACACCAAGCCCATATTATCTAGCTACGAAAGAAAAATCCATCATGACCATGAAGTCAAGAACAGAAAGTGCAGAGATTTAATAAATGACCAATTTCATTACATCTCAAGCATAAAATCCATTTCACTTCCAGATATCTTAGATGTAACTAACTAGTCGCTTATCTTTTGTACCAGTTCTATTGTTTTAAGAATTAGCAAGCAGCAGTTATTCCCACTTACATTTCTTCTTCTTCTCCACTTTTTAAGGCATTCCTCGCAATGCATTGGAAAGCTTCTTCCACATTTACGCCATCTTTGGCAGAGGTCTCAAAGTATGGAATATTTCCCTTCGAGGCACACCAGGCTCGCGCCTTTTTCTCAGACACCTGATGAATCACAAATTAGGATTCCAAAGATTAGGCAAACTTAATACTAAAACTGGCAAGTTCCGGTCATCCAGGGCTCAAAGGAAATATACAACCAGATAAAAGGAATTAATCTTACAACTCTACTATTGCCGCCATCAACATCAATCTTGTTCCCCAGCACAACAAATGGAAAATTTTCTGGATCAGAAGGGCTAGCCTGTAATAGAGCTCCTGGTTTCAGCAAACTTAGTTGCAACAAATAAAAATAATAAAAGAAAGAACAAAATGTGGAGCTTTACTCATCAATCATGCTTCACCTGAATAAGGAATTCTTCCCTCCAATTATTTAGATTATCAAAGGACTTCATTACATTCACATCATAACAAAGAACACAGCAATCAGCACCACGGTAAAAAGCAACACCAAGGCTTTGAAACCTTTCTTGCCCGGCCGTGTCCCAGATCTACATAACACAAGAAGACCATCTTAGTACTACAAAAAAATCAATACAAGTGGTCTGATAAACAACGCAACTCAAGCATAAAAGTTCCCAGTGCCTAGGGTACGTGAAATGTATTAGTCTATAATTGTCATTGTGCTTCCTAGAATAGCACGGACCAAACGACCATTGTGTCTTCGCACTTCAGAGTTAAGTGAAATAAGGCATCGTAAAAATCAAAAGGAGAATCAGGTTTTATTGGACAAAACTTGCCGGAATCCCTAATAATGTACCTGCAAAGTAAAGAGCCTATCTTCAAACTGCACTTCCTTTGTCAAGAAATCAGCACCAATAGTTGCCTTGTACTGATTGCTAAACTTCTTGTTTACATACCTAAAGTTAGGCATTAAGGCAAACAACCCAAAAATCCAGACTAACAAGCAAGCTGAAAGATTATATCCTAAAAGTATAACTGCCACAGCCCAAAAAAGCAAGTAAACCTAAAAACATACAATACACCACCACAGAGAAACTTCAAATGTGAAAGGAACTCCATTGCTAAGGATACTGATTCATCAATGACGTCTTCCCCACCCTGCAAAGAACAGCCACACAAAATCCGCATCACTAGTCTTATAAATTGGAATACAGTAGCATACAGAATTGCAATATTAAATCAGATCAGTAAAATAACGAAACCCCGTGCTCAATTGGATAGATAAATAACTAAAACTACCCTTTTCCAAAAAAAAAAAAAAAGAATAACTAAAACTATAACTAGATCTTCATCAGATTGCAGGTGAATAGAAAGAAACCCAAGGAATAAGGAATTCAAAGGTTGACTGACCCGCTGTCGCCGAGGATGATGACCTTCAAAAGGGTTCTCCTACGGGAAGGCATCCTGATCAAAATCACCTAGCTGCGAAGATTTGAAGTTGGGGAATCGAAAAACCCTAACCCGAATTCGACCCGATCTTCAACACAGAATCAAGGGGAGAAGGAACAATACGATTTTGAGTTAAAATTGATTTGGGATTTTTTTTAATTTTATTTTTTCTGGTTTTCTAGAGAGGAGACAATCAGAGTAAGGAGAGAGGACGTTTCGACTTTCGAGCGCTAAAAGGTAAAGAAGAAGAAGAAAGAAAGAAGAGAGTCCTGCTCCAATTTTACTGCTTAGCTGGATTTATTGCTCGTTTTTCGCTTTTATGTCCAGCTTGGAACAGCGTGGATCTACGGTCAATCATTACAACCTTTTTTTTTGCTACATTATAATCTCCACCGTTCTAAAAAATTAATGTCTAGATATATGATCCAAAACAAAAGTAACTAATAATTTATTTAGTAATAATATTTATAAATTCTCTATTTGAGAGTTTAATATTATAATATTTTAATAATCTATATATATATTATGAGATTAATTGTAAAATTTAAGAAGAAAAATAAAATAGAACAATTTTAGGATGAAGACTAAGAAAGTAAAAGGAAGAGAGAAAGATTCATTCGGTGCAAATTTTTTCTTCTGAAACTCACATATATATAAAGAAAATTTTGAGACAAATGGTCTCTATTTTCCTGAATCTATTGTTTATAGGTTTTTGACCTTTTTGGTCATTTACCTCTAGAGCTGTAAGTTCGGGCGGTTTGGCCGAAATTCGGTTCGGTTTAATCGGTTTTTTACTCTCACAAAAATCGCCTGAAACCGAACCGTAAAATTAATTTCACAGAACCGAACCGAACCGAATAAGTAATCGGTTTTTGGTTCGGTATCCGGTTCAACCGAATTCAATATGGAACTCAAAAAAAAAAAAAAAAAATCCAGAACAAATAACAAGGACCATTTGCATTTCTGGTGCATTTCAATACTTCAAATTCAATACTCAGCATTTCAATATTTGCAGTGTTGAGTGCAGCAGTGCACACCCGAACTGAAAATCATAATACTGAATCTCTAAAATATTATACCACATTTAAGTTCAAGTTCAACAACACAGATGACACAAAATCAAACTTCAAAGTCTAAAATGCAAACTACAAATTCAAAGTCTAAAATCAGAAGATTCAGAACAAAAATTTCAAACAAATTCAAGTTTCATTTCAGAAACTGAAATCATAACATAATGAAATAGGCAACTTCAATCTGCAACTTAAGTTTTCATTCTTCAAGTGTTGAGTACTTAATAGTTCAACAAACAACATTGTAGCAATCTGGAACAGCATTGCAGCACTTCTCTCCATACTTGGATTCTATGTTCTTGGATATGGCTTACTTGTTTGCCCCTTCTTTTTGCTTCAGGGTAGCAATGGCTTCCACAATCATCTGCAAGAACCCAACCACACAGACCCAAAAAGGGAGAGAAATGTGATTAGTAATAAAAAGTAAAAGACTAAAAATTGTACAATTGCACAAAACTGCATAGCTATCAAATTTTGAAAAGCACTACTGGTCCAAAACTCAAATTCGTGAAAAATTAGGAAATTTCGATCTGGAATTCTATTAATTGAGCTGGACAAAGATAAAAGGGATCACAAAAAAAATGGTTTCATTATTTTCAACAACAAAAGAGAAAGAGCAATTTCTACTTTTCCACTTTGGCGACTTGCAGAAGAAAAAAAAACCTATTTTTTTCTCCCTTTTTAAAGCATCAAACAACTTAAATCAAGCAAAATCAACCCAGAAAAAAAAAATCCAGAATAAACAAAAATTAAAATTAGCGAATCTAGAAACACAGATGCACGAGCTGATTTGTTTCGAAAGAATTACGCAAAACAAAGGGTTCAACTTAAAATCCAAGAAATCAATTTTTGGCAAAATAATAAAGAGAGAAAATAAGAAAGATTAAAAATTAGTAGATTTATAGGACAGAGAAACAGTAAAAAGAATAATTCTTCAACTAGTTTGTAAATTTCGACGACTCAACTAAATCTCAATTCCCCAATCTAAAAGTTCAAACCCTAATCTCATAATCCCATTAACCCTAATCGATTCGATGGCCCAGATCTGGAAAGAAACCCTAGTGAAAGTTTTGATGGATTTTTTTGGAGTATATGACAGATTTGGAACGATTGATAGCTGGATCGATGGATTAACAGAGGTGGAAAGATGGAACGGCGGTCAGTGGCGACGGTTGACCGTCGCCGCCGTCAAGGTTGAAAGTTCAAGCTGGATTGTGAAGAGAGGAAGAGAGAGAAGGAGAGAGGAGGAAGAGAGAGAAAATCAGAGGAAGAAATGAGACGAAACACTAATCTCATTCATATATATATGGATATAAAAAAAATTAGAAAATTAATTAAAAATCGGTTTGTCGGGCGGGGCATGAACTACTTTTTGTTCACCTGCACCCGCACCGTTTAAATTATCGGGTGGTCGGGTGTACTCGAATTACCCCGAAATGCCCCGAATAGCCGAACCGAACGCTCCATTTTCCATTCGGTTCGGGCGGGTGGTCGGGTTGACCCGAATAATCGACAGCCCTATTCACCTCTCTACAACACTCCCCCTTCAATGACCAAATAAATTACGCCTATAATACTGCCTTGTTAAAAACCTTGTTAAAATAAAAACTCAGTGGAAAAAAAAAATTAGCGAAAGGAAAAAGAGTGCAGTGCATAATTATCTCCCTCTGATGATAACATCGGTAATTCTTCACATGCTGTGTAAATGACGCATTCTGATGTTACGAATATGTTTTTTGAAAAGTGCTGTAGGAAGTGAATTTGCAAAAAGATCAGTTGAATTCTCACTGGAAGTAACATATTAAATATCGATATCATTATTCTTCATGAGCTCTTTAGTATATGCAAAGAATTTTGGAGGTATATGCTTGGTCCGATCATTCTTGATATATCCTTCCTCTAATTGGTGAATACAAGCTGTGTTATCTTCATATTTGGATTTTTTTTTACTAGAAGACCACAAGATGTCTTGATGTGTTGTGTCATTGTCCTGAGCCATACACTTTCTTTACTTGCTTCATGTAATACAATAATTTCTACATGATTTGAAGAAATAGATATTGTTGTTTGTTTCTGGAACGCCAAGAAATTGCAATTCATCCATATGTGAACACATAACCAGTCTGAGATTTTCCATGATGAGGATCAGATAAGTAACATGCATCTACATAGCCAATTAATTCTTGTTTTGAATTGTTAGAGTAAAACAAACCCAAATCAATACTTCCTCGAAGATAACGAAATATATGATTGATTCTATTCCAATGTCTTTTGGTAGGAGATGAGTTGTGTCTTACTAATAACTTGACTGCAAAAGAAATATCAGGTCTAGTACAGTTAGCAAGATACATAAGAGCTCCAATTGCACTCAAATATGTGTCACGGGCTTACTTTTTCAAAGTAACGGCCGTGCGGCACTAGCACAAAACAACTAACGATCAAGTGCTAGCTCAGCCTTCAGACCCCCAAAGCGTGCAAAGCTAGGCAAGACTTTAAAGAACGGAGGCAAAGAAAAACTTAAGAAAGGTTGAAAGTGAAAGAATGATGAAGGCACAAGAGAGCTTAGGGAATGCTTGAGAACTCTACTCAAAGCTTGGATGGATTACAAATGAATGGGGCATGGGGTATTTATAGGCAAACCCCAAGTCCTAAAGCATTCTAGAGAATTCTATGTACATAATAAAATAATGGAATTCTAGAGAATTCCTACAATAGAATATTCCAAGTTCAAAATATCTACAAGTCTCTAGAATCTTCCACACGGTTCTAGCAAACTCGGGTAGCTTCCACACGGTTCCACCCGTTTCTAGAGAGTTCCGGGCCTCTCTAAAAAATTCCAGAGTCTTCAAGATTTGACCGGAGAATTCCACAAGGCTCTAGACCGTTCCGTCCCATGTCCGTCTACGAAAATAGCCTGTTTCGCAGCAAACCACCCGAATTCATGGTGAAGAAAAACTGTCCGTGACATCCTCCCCCACCAAAATGGTGCATCGCCCCGATGCACCTAAGTCTCGAAGGCAATGTTGATAGGAACGGGTGCACGATTCTCCTCAAAGTCCTCGATCAATTTGATGAATTGCCAAAGCTTCTCGATTGGCTCCCAACTCGTCTCACTCATTGGCAAATTCTTCCATTTCACCAAGTATTCTTTAGTTGCTGCCCCGCTTTTGCCCCGAACGATCCTCTTAGAAAGGATCTCCTCTACGGTCCGTTCCTCATGCTCGCGTACGCTAGCTGGTGCCCTTGAGGAAACGTTCCGTTCTTCGTCCTCTGGGTCCTTGCGGTATGCTTAAGTAGGCTCACATGAAAGACTGGATGAAGCCTTGAAAAGGCCTTGGGTAGCTCCAGCTTGTAAGCAACCGAACCCACTTTCTTGAGAACGGTGAAAGGACCCTCGTATCTGCGCATGAGACCCTTGTGTAAACCACGGCTCCGACCATGCTCATAAAGCTTTACCAAGACTTGGTCGCCTTCTTCAAACTCACGACAGGTCCGTTTCTTATCCGCCCATTTCTTCATGCGCGCGGCCGACTTCTCCAAGTAGAGTTTTGCCTCGTCGGCTCGTTCTTGCCAATCTTTGGCAAACTTGTATGCGGGTGGGCTATTACCCTTGTAGCCCCCAAGAATGTCCTTAGGCGTAGTCGGTTGGAAACCAAGGACAATCTCAAACGGACTTTTGCCCGTGCTCTCACTCCGCATCAAGTTATAGGAAAATTGGGCAACGTCTAGCAAACGTACCCAATCTTTCTGGTTGGCTGCCACATAGTGCCTAAGGTACACCTCCAAGAGGCCGTTGATGCGCTCCGTCTGCCCATCCGTTTGCGGGTGCAAAGATGTAGACATCTTGAGCTCCGTCCCAAGCAAACAAAAGAGTTCTTGCCAAAAATGGCCGGTGAACCTCGAGTCCCTGTCGCTTATGATCGATGTAGGTAACCCCCAATATTTCACCACATGCCTAAGAAAGAGTTTGGCCGTTATCTCTGCGGTGCACTCTTTTGGGGCGGGTATGAAGACCGCATACTTAGACAAACGGTCTACCACAACAAGTATGTTGGTGCAACCCTCGGAAACAGGCAGGCTCACGATGAAATCCATCAAAACGCTGTCCCACGGGTGTTCCGGAATAGGCAAGGCTGATAACAAGCCATGCGGGTGGTCTTGCTCGGTCTTGTCTTGTTGGCAAACTAGACAAGTCCTTACATATGTCTCCACGTCTTCCCGCATGCGAGGCCAATAGAACCGTTCATGTACTAAGGCAAGTGTGCGATGCGTACCTGGGTGACCCGCATAACGGCTATCATGGCAATCCCTTTGAATCTCCCTTCTAAGTCCATCCCATGCGGGCACGTACAAACGGTTCCCTTTGGCATAAAGTATCCCATCCTCAAGCCAGAACCGCGTTGCCTT